ATTTGACTTCAATTTGACTAATTCGAGTTTGATTACACTATAATTGACCGATAGTGTACTAACTTGACTTCAATTGTACTAATTTGACTTCAATTGTACTAATTTGACTTCAATTGGACTAATTCGAGTTCAATTACATTATAATTGACCAAGATTGTACTAATTTGAGTTCAATTGGACTAATTCGAGTTCGATTACACTATATTGACCGAGATTGTACAAAAAGCGTTTTCTTTTTGGTTTTTTCGGAACAAAACGCATTTCTTTTTTGTTTTTTTGATCGAATTACTTTATTACTCACATATATTCATGCTACGTGTCATTGGAACGATAGTTTGAAGGTGTTGGATCGTCGAAACACTCACGACGAAACTATTTTCTTTTAAATAACAACACTTGTTCTTTATTTTTTTTTTTACTTTAATTATATTAAGTTGACTTCAATTGCACTAATTTGACTTCAATTGTACTAATTTGACTTTAATTATATTAATTTGAGTTCAATTGTTCTAATTTGACTTTAATTATATTAATTCGAGTTCGATTACATTATAATTGGCCGAGATTGTACAAATTCGACTTCAATTATATTAATTTGACTTCAATTGGTCTAATTTGACTCTAATTATATTAATTCGAGTTCGATTACATTATAATTGACCGGGATTATACTAATTTGACTTTAATTGGACTAATTCGAGTTCGATTACATTATAATTGATCGAGATTGTACTAATTTAACTTAATTATATTAATTTGACTTCAATTGGTCTAATTTGACTTTAATTATATTAATTCGAGTTCGATTACATTATAATTGACCGTTATTGTACTAATTTGACTTTAATAATATTAATTTGACTTTAATTGTTCTAATTTGACTTTAATTATATTAATTCGAGTTCGATTACATTATAATTGACCGAGATTTATTAATTCGAGTTCGATTACATTATAATTGACTGAGATTTATTAATTCGAGTTCGACAAGATTTTTTCCCCCCAAATTAACGAATATATATTTGCTATTTCATACAAAAAACGACTATATAATCGTTATATTGTAATAACGATTACAAAAAATGATTAAATATCATGTATGAAATAACGAATATATATTAACTTGAACGAATATATATTTGTTATATATTAACTTGAAATAACGAATATATATTAACTTTAACGAATATATAATCGTTACATTCGTTATTTTAACTTGAAAAATGACTAAACTTAAACCTATTAAGAGTTTAATATCTTTATAATGGCTTATAAGAAGAATTCACGATCCTTAAAGGTGGATTTCATCGAAAAAACAACAATAACGAATCTACCGTCGTTATTTCAATGTTATAACGAATGTACATTCGTTATAGTTATTTTTTGTAACAAAACGCGATTTCTATAAGGTTTTTTCGATCAAATTTCTTGATAACGCATGTATATTCATGTCACGTGTCATTGGAACGATAGTTTGAAGGTGTTAGAGCGTCGAAACAATCATAACGGAGGAATTTTTACATGAATAATGGAAAGATGATGTAAAATCTTTGTAAATTCATTATTTTGCATGAAAAAAGACCAAAATTAGACAAATAACGAATTTAATATCTTTATAATTTATTATATGACGAAAACACGATCGTTTAAGGTGGATTTGGACGAAAAACAACAATAACGAATGTACAGTCGTTATTGCATTTTATAACGAATGTACATTCGTTATAGTTGTTTTCCGAAATGATAGAACCATTGTCTAGGTCATCGCGGGCGCGACACTTGTCGCGGGCGCGACAAACAAATGACAGAACCTAAGCCAAGTTCGTCGCTGGCGCGATGCCAGGTCGCGACCGCGACACAGAGGCTAACAGATATGTTGCCAGGGCGTCGCGGGCGTGATGGTTGTCGCGGTCGTGACACTGGCGATGACAGATCTGTTGCCAGCGCGTCGCGGCTGGGATGAACGTCGCTCCCGCGACAAGTAACTTTTTTTTTTTTATTTTATGAGAACGAACGTACATCCGTTATTTCATATAAAATAACGATTATACATTTGTTATACTGAAATAGGTATATGTCACGGCCGTGACTTGTGTCGCGGACGCGACACTCTCTAGAATGGACAAAGAAAGTTGTCCAGTGTCGTTGTCGCGACGGTCGCGGCCGCGACAAGCAATTTTTTTTTCCCAAAATAACGAATTGTTCATTTGCTATTTTTTAAACTGCTTGTAATCGGTTCCTCCACTTATTTTTGGGAGCTCGGCATCGAACCCTTCCGTTATTTATTACATTAAAACTTCTCGTTACAGTAATATTTTTAACCATTTTCATAAAATACTATTATAACCAACGCATTGGGAAGTACGTAAAAAATACAACTTGATAAAAAATACAACTTCTCGTGCTATATAACGGGTTAACACGTATAGGACCAAGGAAACATGTATTATTTCACAAAAGGAGTTTCGTCGCGACTACAAAAGAAAAAAAAAATA